GGGTGAGTGTGGGTGCGGGTCATAGAGTTGGGGGCACGGGGACGGGTCATGTGAGGGGACGGGGTTTGAAACAGGATCCCATGAGAGAAAGAGAGAGAGAGGGAGAGAGAGAGACAGGGAGAGAGAGAGAGAGGGAGAGAGAGAGGGAGAGAGAGAGAGGGAGAGAGAGAGAGAAAGAGAGAGAGAGAGAGAGGGAGAGACAAAGAGAGAGTGAGAGAGAGAGGCAAAGAGAAACAGAGAGAAACAGAGATAGAAGTGGGGGAGGAAGCTGAAGAAGTTAAAGAATAGTAGAAAAAAAAAGAGTAAAACAAAAGAGAAAAAAAAGAGGGGAAGGAGGTGTCCGGCGGGTTGTCACAAATCTGGTTACCTGTAGCGACCAGCACCAAAAAATAATCTTCCTCGGGTGACGGCCCCTTGCTGTTCCGGAAGTCCCGATGACGTCTGTCAAGGGGAGAGCACCGTGTGATGTGTCCCGCCACACGGAAAGGGGGAGCAACTCAAGGGAGGTAATGCTATCAGGGGAGCGCACTCGCTCTGATTGCTAACCGCGGGGAGGAAGTGCTGGGAAGGAATGTGAACTAAAGAATGTGAACTAACGAATGTGCACACGACCTTAGACATCGGCTACTGGTCACTTCAGATCGTCCGATAGTATTTCCCCTTCGCCACCTCTCCCCCCGCCCCCCACCCACCCACAAACACCCGTCCTTCCCTTCTTCAGTTCCCTTTTTTTCATCATTGAGTGCCGGACATAGATGCATAATATACATTAATGAGCACGCTGAAACATTTCCAAGGACAGCGAGCTGTAGCAAGCACATAGAGCGTTCTGGTTTCACGGTCAAAATGTCAAGTGCGTTAGAATGTTCATGGAACAAATTATGTAAATGACTATAGAAATCTAAAGTGTAGTACATGTAGTATGCCAGTAGGTGGGGAAAAAAAAGGAAAGGGGGTGGAGGAGTGTGGCAAAAAAGTGGAACGGTGGTGGTGATGGAAGGTTGTGAAGAAAAACGTGACGCAGGAAGAGCTGCAAATTTCTTTGTTTCACCAGTCAGTGAAAATTAAGAATGGAACACAAAGCCAGGAGTGGAGGGTTCCTTTTGTGGACATAGACAAAATAAATAAACATGGCAGGGGCAGATCCAGAGACATCTTATTTGGAAATCCGAACAGATGGGTGACGAGGAAACACCAGGATATTTAGGGCTTTTTGAAGAGCATCTGAGGGGAGGAAAAAATGTAGAACTGGGCCACGGCTCCGTTGTCCGTTTCAGAGTTGTTTTAGTTTAGTTTTAGTAGAGGTTTTACGGCGCTCGCAACTGCTTAAGGTCATATGAGCGCCAGAAGATTAGAGGTGTTACAAGAGAGTAACAAACATAAAAAAAGAAGAAGGGAAGATAAGGATGATAGGTATTTGATAGGAAAGAAGGAGCAAACCACACCAGAGCACCCGCCAACCGCCCGCTTTCAGAGTTGGAACTTTATGATGACGGTGCAAGACAGAGTGAGATCAAGGGTTTGTTTTAGGTTTCCCGTCCTCGTATCAAGATAACGTTGTTCTTCTCATTTCCTTTTCAGATTCAAGCTCTTTTACTTCTCTTTACCTTCGCATTTCGTGATCAAAGAACTAGAAGACAGAAGGTTTTATTTCTGATACACAATTATGAGAGATGGAACCAAATAATTCTAGTCTCAATCTGTTCTTTTCCTTCTTATCCCCTTAACCTTTCTTCATATATTGGAGGTCACAAAATGGTCGACCTG